CTCCCTGCAGACGGCAGGTGGTCAGTTTCAGCAGCGGCTGAATCGGGGACAGCTGGGGTGCTGCCGGGTTGGTCCCGCAGCCCCGAGAGGCAGCGCTACGGGACCAATACAGCAGCACCCCAGCTGCTCTGCTCCCTGCTTCCCCGATTCAGCTGCTGGTCAGTTTCAGCAGCAGCTGAATGGGGGAAGCCTGTCCGGCTGCCCCAGCACTTCCGGGTTCCTGATGGTGCCGGACCATCAGGAGTCCCGGAGCATTGGATGCAGGACTAATGAAGTTTTACTGTACTTGGCTTCGTTGGGACATCTGCCTGAGATGCAATTTAGTCTACCAAAAATGTCCCTTCAAACAAAAGTAACTATCATTCACAATTCATATTTAATGGGGGAAGCCTGTCCGGCTGCCCCAGCACTTCCGGGTTCCTGATGGTGCCGGACCATCAGGAGTCCCGGAGCATTGGATGCAGGACTAATGAAGTTTTACTGTACTTGGCTTCGTTGGGACATCTGCCTGAGATGCAATTTAGTCTACCAAAAATGTCCCTTCAAACAAAAGTAACTATCATTCACAATTCATATTTTACAAAAATGTAGATTTTATAAAACCTGAGAAATGGAAATGTTTTCCTGTTTGTTTTTTTTAATTCCAAATGAAACATTTAATATGCACAACTCCCTTGCAGCCATTGCTATGTCACATTGCAGAGAACCTGAAATTGAAAACATTTAAAACAAAAGTGAATCTATAAATTCAATATCACTGATATTCACTGGCAAAGCTAACTAAAAAACAAACAGCAAAAGCAGGATGACTTCTAAAGACTTCAGTTTTAATAATCTACGTCAGGGGTTCCCAAACTTTGACATAGGGACCAGTAAATCCATTCACGAGCTTTTGGAAGACCAGTAACATTCATTTGCATATTCATTATGCAAATTATGAATATTCAAATAAGTTGTTTCTGGTCCTCCCAAAACCAAAAGTGCCAGCGTTAGCAAAGCTTTTGACACCGTCACCCACAATATTCTTGCCAGCAAGTTAAGGGAATATGGATTGGATAAATGGACTGTAAGATGGATAGAAAGCTGGCTAGACCAGGGTTTCCCAAACTTTTTACTTTAGTTGGAACCTTTTTTTTTTTTGGTACTGTCTTTTGCAGCCCAAAAATATAAAGGCATATAAAAAAAGAATTAAAAATGAATACATTTTCAGTGTTTCACCTGGCTGCATCCTCTGCCCAGCCTTGGTCAGTGCTTAGGGGACCCGGCACCACATGGGCATTCCAGGAGGTGGGAGCAGAAGCAGATTGGGGATAGGGTATCTGGCTAGGAGGGAAGGTGCAAGGAGGGGTAGGGTTGCCAGGTGTCCCGTTTTGTACCGGACAGATCCCTCAAATACAGGACTATCCGGGAAACAAATTGAGAAAATACCTGACATATAAAATGTCTGGTATTTTCTAATTAGGTAAGTTTTATTATAATTAAGTGTATCAGTCCGTAGCTGCAAACTGCCTGGCTGGTAGATGTGCTCATGCTGCGTGAGTGTGTCTGCCAGCCAGGCAGTTCGCAATTACTCGAGGGAGAGCATGGAGAGGAAGGAGGCAAAATGGAATCCCCAGGGCTGGACGCACTTGTGTGTCCAGGGCAGTGGTATTTTCTAATTAGGTAAGTTTTATTATAATTAAGTGTATCAGTCCGTAGCTGCAAACTGCCTGGCTGGTAGATGTGCTCATGCTGCGTGAGTGTGTCTGCCAGCCAGGCAGTTCGCAATTACTCGAGGGAGAGCATGGAGAGGAAGGAGGCAAAATGGAATCCCCAGGGCTGGACGCACTTGTGTGTCCAGGGCAGCATGTGCTTTCCACCGCCTGCCCTCCCTGATCTCCGCCAGATAGCCCCGCTGCCCCCAACCCTGCTTCCACTGGCTGGCTGCCCGCCTGCCCCGATCTCCGCCGGACAGCCCTGCTGCCTCCAAACCTGCTTCCCAGCAGCCGGTTTCCTTCCCCCAACACACCTCCTCCCAGCCCGCCCCACCCCGCTCCCCTCTCGGGAGCCACGCTGAGGCCTGGTATTTTTTTCCACACTGAAGTCATTCTACTGTAGCATGCTAAAAAAAGTAGATGAAAGACTATCCCTTAACTGATTAACTAGATCCAAAGGGTCACCATAAGAGTTCTTAAATGATATTCCATCACATCATAAAGTCAATCTGTAACAAAGCAAAAGGAATATAGAAAAGCAGTGGGTTACAGAGGTATAGAAGAAATTCTCCTGTCCTACTCACGGGTACACCATGCTCCATCAGCACATTGGGGTTCATGATGGTGACAAGCTGATGCAGGAGATCAGGCTGAGACTCAAACAGTTCAGGAGCCAACTCTCTCATCACCTCCTCCAGTTGTTCTGCTGCATGAGAGGGCACACCATACCATGTCTTGGGCTCTCCCCTGGCAGAAAACAGTCAATTGCACTACACATTACCTAAAGCAAAGTAAAACTGTCATCCTAATGCAAGGTATGAGTTTATGACAACTTCACCTGTATTTCCTCTCAGCAATGGCACCCCCTCTCAGGTTTCCGACACCCCAGATGTTGCCTTTCTTGGGTATCGATGTGCACCTCACTTTGTTCTGACCAGGGGATTTCCAGCTAACACAATTTCCTGCCCCCCTTTCCTGTGTTAGTTCAAGCCAAGGAAGGCTATTCAACCACACCTGCTCACTTACTCTTCAGAGATTTACAACAGTAATTATCCATACTTAGAAATTACCACACCATCTTCTATGCAAATTTATTGTATTCTTAAGATAGAAGCACTAAAAAGGGGTGGGGAACCCAAGGCCTGGGGGCCATATGCCTAGATACCATATGCCTAGATACGGCCCCTGTGGCTGAGGCCCCAACCCCCCCAGTCTCCCTGTGGAGCTGGAGCACACAAAATCTACCAGGCTGGGCCCCCCTAGGCTCTAGTGTGTGAGGGGAATATGGCGAGTGTCCTTTTCAGTGGGGGAACACATCAGTGAGGGGTGTCTTGGTTTTTGTGTTTGTTTTGTGTTTCTCACTTGTGTGCAGGCCCACAGCTGATTCTTCTGTAGGTCAGCGGCCCTGACCCAAAAAATGTTCCCCACTCCTACAGTACAGAGAAAACACTGAAAAGAATAAGATAACCTGTACATATGCTAATAAACTTACCAGTGATCCCCCAACCCTAACCCCAGGCTCTGGCTAGTGCAGTCCTTCCAAATTTCACCCAAGATGTTTCTTTTGTGGTCACAAGTTCATCACAGCTTCAAATCAGAACAAGCATATTCATTATATTCAGTCCACCCTTTACACATATTGGGGGTCTGAGATCTGGAGTTTCCAGGAGCAAGTAATTAGGCAATGGATTTTCTTGCCCAAAGCATAGCTTCCAGAGGGTCATGTTTGCATTGTCCGTACCCCTAGATATTTCCTAGGAAACCCACTTCAGAAAGCTTTTTGGAACAACCCCTTTGAAGTACCTAATGAAATCTCTGGAAACTATTAATTATGCACATACAATTCCATACCACCCAGAACTACACTTTTCATACACTGGACTCTAAAAAGGTATTTAACCTAATTCAACAAGGTTTATCTTAATTCAGGAAAGTACATTCAGGATATTGTCAGTGGCAGGTATACTGTGATATAACATTCCAGCAAGGAATTGCAGCCTAGAGCAGCCACTTTCCTACTCAATAACTACTGGAAATGACTGTTCTGAACCACAGGAGAAAGACACAGCTGACTGGGATTCCTGAGGGGAGATTTATACACCTAGTGACAGGTAATGTGGTTAATAAATTAAATGTGAAGGGAGGTTGGGGCAAACAGAAGTGAAATTAATTGCTCAAAACATGCGACTTACAAATTACTCCAGTCTTTCCAATTAAGTCTTCACACCACAATGCTCTGTACTGGCCTATGAACTCAAGGACTTAACGGTTTTTTGCTACTAAAAATATTATCTAGAAAGCAACTCCATCTAAATACTTCAATATCTCTTTAGCATTCACTGCCTAAATACATTGAAAAATTATTCAAAACCTAGCAAAAAAAGCTAAGAGAAAGGATATTGCATCCAAGAATCATTTTGTTCACACCAACACCTTATCTGATTCCTGAAGTCTTCAGTGACACCTGCTGGTAGGATAGAGCCAGTCAAATCCCACTAATCAAATCTCCTTCCACTCAAATCTGTCTGGGTTCTCAGAACTAACAAACTGACACCAAATCTTCCCCCAGAGCGACCTCACTCATGGCATACTGAAACCAGTACCTGAATTCTGAACACACACATACTCTGGGATCTTGGTTACTCCTAAACATACTTCTCCAGAAAATTTCCATTACTGTCCAAAGGCAAATGGACCATTACAAGGCACACACTTTTCATTTTGAATAAGGTGCTTCCCATAGCTTACCCTCAAACAGTGCTCCTTTATGACTGAACCTGGACTTCTGAAAATTACAGTACAAGGTTTTTTAAATAAAAATCCAATCACTAAAATATTCTGAGAAAGCATAACATGAAGTTAACATTGCTGTGAGATTCCTAACAACTGGCAGTAATGTGAGCACTACTACATCAAGATAAGCTCCTCAGCTCGGGGGCCATACACAAGTGATAAGCAAGCAAAAAAATCCCCCACCCCACAATTCCTCATTAATGTGGTCCCCAGCTAAGAAGGAGAAAGACCCCCCCATATTCCCCTTGCACACCAGAGCCTAGGAGGGGGTCCAGGCTAGTAGACTGAGTGCTCCAGCCCAGCAGTGGGGCAATGGGAGGGGGGCTGGAGTGCTAGCCTGGGCTCTCTAATGTTGGGGGTGAGAAAACGACCCTGAGCTTTTGGGGCCGGATCCAGGCAAGCCAGGAACTGCATCTGGCTCCTGGGCCTTCGGCTCCCTACCCATTCTAAACTTCATTATGAAGTGGTTTATCATTCAGCCAATAGAATTGCTTGATTAGATGAGACTAGAAAGAATGTCTGTAGAACAGACTATTCCATTGTCACTGGTGATGGCATTTCAATATCTACATTTAACCAAAGCATTAACACTGCAGTACTCTATACAGTGATGTCTGCATCCATCTCTCCTACTAGACTCAGTCTCACTTTAAGGAAATGAATGGCTTATCTTTCTTATGGCCCCTTCGGTCTCAGGCAAACAATAATAGGAATGGATTTCAGTAGGTACAGGTATTAATGGAAAAACTGCATCAGCTAAGAACAAGCAGAGCAGTGCAAGGGAAGAGGATGACAGGAAGAGAAACCATACCAGTGCAAGTAATTGATGGAATAGCTCCAGTGGTCCTCAATGTGCCAGCAGAAAGAGGAGAAGCACATCCCTACATACAGCCAGGGCACCTTCATGCCAGAGATATCTGCATTGATGTGAGCAAGGACTGACTGTTCCAACACTGGCATGTTATTCAGGTTCCAACCAGAAAGTGCATATTCCTGCCAAAGAAAGGGAGAACCCCATGAAATCTGAAGACAATTTATATAGTTTAACAAGCCTAAGGAGAAGGTAGCCCACAGGATAAATTGAGCAGCCTGTTAATTTACTTTTTAGCCTTTGATTGGAATTCTGTCATGCTGAAGCTTTGGAAGTGGGTATCCACTAGACCCTAAACCAGCAGCCAATCTTGTTAGGACTGCATTGAACTAATTCACTCATTAGACAATGGTTTATATTGAAAGTTACAAATCTGTTTCACTTTTCCCTGTTCTTTTGCTCCATTTAAGTAAATCTCCTGCCCCCACAAAGTAGCGGGCAAATGATAACAGCTCAATACCCTGAAGGCAAAAATTCAAGCCTGGAATGCACTTCAAAGAAATCATGAAACTCAAGTCTTACTACATCTCTTATTGGGAAATCAGTTTCTCAATGGCTCATTCTGCTACAGAGTAACTCATCTAACCTTTACAAGAACTAGTTAAAATAGTACAACTTCCTCACTGTCATTGCTAAGAACAAAAACTTCCATACCAGATCAGACCAATGGTCATCTAGCCCAGTATTCTGTCTCCGGAGTTAGCCAATGCCACAACTACTGAGAGTGTAAAAAATAGGGCAATTGGAGTGATCCAACCATTATTTCCTTCCAGCTTCTGGCAGCCAGAGCTTTATATATCCCAGGCTTTGGGTTGCATCTCTGACCATCTCGGCTAACATTTGCTGATGATCTTTTCCTCCATGCAGTTTAGTTCATTTTTAAGCCGGTTCTACTTTTGACCAAACAATATGACTTTGCAAGGAGTTCCACAGGTTAGCTGTGCATTGTGTGAAAAATTATTTCCTGTGGTTTGAATGTAAACTGCTGATTATTAATTTCATCAGTTTTTTCATTATGGAATAGTCTCAACAACACTTGTTATTGTTTAAAAAAAAGTACAGAGGCAAAAGAATAGCAACAAGTCACTATTCAGATGCAAAATCTTGTCAGTCTCCTTATGCTGAAAATGGCTCAGAAATGCATGCTGAATACTGCCTTAATACTTTACATTTCTACCACAACCTTCACCAGAAGGCCAAAGAACTTTAAACATTAACCCTGTGAACAGCCATACAAAACAGGTGAATATTGCAGGAAAAATAACTTATCAGCCATAGCAAATCAGTGACTGTGCCAGGAATGAAATCTAGGTGTCTTTACTCTAATCCCCCTTATTTAGCCTCCAGATCACATATGCCTTAAAAGAAACGTAGGTGAACATAAAAGCAATCACCATTTTATTTTACAAAACTGAAAAAGCCACATTAGTTTCAGTCCTAAAGGAGTATAACTTTGTAATGCAAGGTTTGGGATCAGTTAACATTTCTCCATTCACACCTCCTCCTCTGGCATCATCTTTCGACAGCCATCCTTCACAGGAAAGCCACTTCCAAAGTCCTTGGATGAAATATCAGCACCATACTCCACAATGACATCCTCCTCAATGCTGCTCACGAGTCGCCAGAACTCCTTCTCCACCAGCTCAGTGGGAACCATCTGTAAAGACAATAGCATTCCCATGGAAAACAGGGTTATCCTCAGGCTAAAAAAATGCACCTAAAAGTGGTATTACACCTTTCCCAATCCCTCATCCATCAGACATTAAATCCAGTCTTCTCCCATACCACACATGAGAATCAATTTCCATGGAAATTATTTTGCCATTCTTTACAGCTTGGCTAAATTACAAAATTAAGTTGACCTAGGTTAGGTTGATGTACAATCACAGCAGTAATTATTACTGGTTTGTCATGTCCACACTACCCTCCTCCTGTGGGCGGTGTGCTTGCACTGACTTAAGTGGGGAAGTATGAGGGGTTGACATCTGTTACCCTCTGGGATACAAGGAAGGGTCCAGCTGTCAACTCCAGGAGCTGATCGACAACAGAATGTAAGTAACATAGTGTCTATACTGATACTAGGTCTCCTTAACTACATTAACCTAAGCACTATTCCTCTTCCTGAGATGGAGTTGTTAGGTCCGTGTTGTGTACAACTTATACTGGCAGGAGCAATGTTGTAATATAGATGCTTACAGAGCTAGGACAAAGTAAGCAGCCCTTTATGGATATAACTCGATAGCACAGACCAGACCTTAGATGCAGGATGTTACATTGTGTGGAAAGGAGTAAGTGGGAAAGAAAGCTAGGATGATTAGAGGTAATGTGCCCAGATACAGTTCTACTTAGAAAAACTAATAAAACCAAATAGTCCCATAATACTGTAAGAATAAAAAAAAAGTGAGCAAATGCCCTACACTACAACTGTATTCATGAAGGAATGCTACATCATGGGCTAGGGATTAATTTCGTTACCAGGGTAGGTTATGCACACACCCATCAGAAAGCAACTATGACATGCCCATTAATTCAGTCAGACCTTCAAGACGACTCAGACTTATTGAACAAAGAAGCAGTCTGTCCATTTATCATGACAGATTGGATAAGAACTGCCCAGTTGGGTCAGGAAGACCAATGTCCTCTTCCCATCACTTATAAATCTGTTGATGGCTGACAATTTAGAAGAAATAAGAGGAAGAAAGATACCTTTGCTCCTACTTCAGCAAGAGTACTCCTTTCCAGAGTATTATTCACTAATTCTAGAGTGTTATAGGGAGACCATACACTTAATTACATTTGTTTAGAACTTTTTTAAATCTTTCATTGCTGAAAGTAACACTGACATTTTTATATTGGATTTTCTGTGGTGATAAACACCACAGTATCTCACAAATATTAATTTAGTTACACATATGCTATCAATGGAGGACAAACCTTGTGCCCAAAGAAAGTTCAAATAATGCATTTGTTCATCTGGTTTGCTGAACCCTGGAAAAGGAAGGAATTTAATAGTTTGGCCACAATACTCTGTTGGGGCATAGGTCAATCATCAATCAGAAGGAGACAGTAGAACACCAGAAGAAATTAAGGGAAATTGAAGACAACCTGACTAGATGCCAGAGAGCTAAATTATTTGTTTACATATTTCAAACTGACAGTATCCCTTTAAATCAATCATGAGATGCCCAACAAAAACTCCAGGTCAGTTGATACTTCACTGCCTTCCTCAGTAATAAACATCAACAAATAGGGATACTCACGTGGACTGGCATGTTGAAATAATCAGACTTGAAGTTATCTGCCATCTCTCCAAAGCTCTGGAGCGTGTACTCCCTGACAGCCTGCTCAAATCCAAAGGCCTCACGCGGTTTGTTACATTCCTAGGAGAGGCAATACATTACTCCTACAGCTGACAACAAGCAGATTCTTACTAGAGGAGATCAGTGCCTACTCAGTTTCCTTGTCTAATACAAAGGCAAAATACTGATTTAAATTGCTTCCTCTTGATAGGGCAGCTCCTCCCACACAATTAACAGTTGGACAGCCAAACTAATGTGTGCAGCTTCACATGAACATTTGCATCTCAGCACTTGCTGAAGTAGGTAGAATGACAAGGGACAACAAAGACACAGAGGCCTTAAGCTAAGAGGGGATTATGTGAGATTTGGGCACTAAAATAAGCAGCTGTAGCAGAATTGCACTGTAGCAAACCCTACAACCGTCTTAGTCTTTATAATGCAGTGTAATTGTAGCCTAGTCAGTCCCAGGACATGAGAGAAGGTGGATGAGAACCAACAGAAACTAGTCCAATAAAAGATACTACATCGCCTATTTTGTTTCAGCAAGTCAGTAGCTAGTTTAACTGTGGAGAAAGTAAATTTACATGGAGAGAGTGCGAGACGGGTAAAAGGGTTTATTAGGATAATGGCTTTCATAAGAGTTTTATGCTAATTGGTTAGCAACTTGAGTCATCTGACATGCACATAATCAGAGGAGTTTATTTCACTGTCTTATCCATGGAGTGGGCAATCCATCACACCAATGCTATTCCACCCTGCCCATTTCCACAAAGTCTCTTTCAACACCAGTAGATCCCTCTGACAATATGTATGTAATCAGAGATATCTCTCAACATACAAACATGCCCGACGGTTGATGGCTAGTTATTTTTTATTAACGTCCTTTAATAAATCAAACACAATCCCAGATCTTAATATACAAAAAGCTTAGCTGTCCACAGAGTTTTAGGCTTCATCTAACAGACACTCCTGCATGGTGAAGTGGGGGGTGAGAGCACAACCTCCTGCTTCCACCGCACCATGAGGCACACCCCAAGTAATCTCCCGGGACACACTGCTCGAGGGAAGGGGCAGAGGAGTGGAGCAGGGGTGGGGCTTAGGAAGCTGTCAAATGGGAGGTCGCCCCAGTGCCCTGCATGCCCTTCAGGCTGGTCCTGGCTCCAACAACAATGGGAAAAAATGCAGAGCTCAAGGGCTGAGCTACCACTGTGAATGGCTTTTCCTAATAACATGAATACACACAGAGAGCTTGATCAGTTCTTGAACTGTACCTCAGCAACACATTTCGGGCATCTCCAGTCACCCTTGGGCACATCGGGCAAAGGGGGAATCAGGCAAAAAGTGTGGTAGCTATCATCACATCCATCACACAGTAGCAGTTTGTCCTCATTGTTTCCCCGGCCACAAAACAAGCACACATACAGATCAACCTGCAGAGGAAAAAAAAAATCCGTGTAATATGATCAGTTTCCATCACCCAGAAGCTGCCACCCACAAGTTGCCAGGCCAGAGTATTACTAGCTATATAGCAGTACACAGAGCTGAAATCGGATACAGGAATGGGAGGGACAGGATTGCCTAAACTCCACAAGAGAAGCACTGACAAATCTCCACTGAGCTTCTGCTTCCCAAGGAAGCTATATATCTGAGAATCAGGGAGTGTGGGTAGACACACAAGATAAGGAGCCAGGGAATATCCATCTAGCTGAGCTTCAGGGGGAGGAAAAGCATTATCAAGTATCTTCCAGATAGATAACTCAAAGAACTCATTTACATTTACTTGAACCAGAAGAACCAATTTACATTAATTTTCATTTGAGAGGTTTAATATCTATCCTTGCTACATCCTCAGTATAAATGCTTTCTCCACTCTTGATTCAAATTAGATCTCTGCAGACAGTACTCTGCAAGAGTCCTCTTGTCTAGGTACCACATCATTATCCATGATACAAGCGTAATAATATCTGAAACTGTTCTCAAATGCAGGGACAAAAAGCAGACCATGCAGGAACAGAGAAACACTGAAAATTACAAGCTGAGAATTCAAAGGCTAAAGCTACTTGTGCCTGTACTAATAATTGTTCCCCTTGATCTTTATTCTTCTTTGATAACAGGAGGATAAGGATTCCAAGTAGCAAAATAAAAGTGTAAGAATTCATGCTCCAGCACACTACTTCCTCATTTACTGTCTGCCCAACACCACCACTACCCTGAAGAACTTTCAAAAACCAAGATTACTGCACAATCAAGGTCAAATTCCCTGTTGCTATAGCTTGTCACAGTAGGATAGCTCTAGTATCACCCTAGTTTAGAAAGGAAACATCAGCTACTTTTCTCCTTAAAATGTACTCAAGCTCCTAAAACACTGGTTTTACACAACTACTGAGCTGTATTTAGATTGTATAACAAGTGAGCCTGCTAGATCTGAAGAATAATTTTACATTTAATCATTTAATAGAAGCACTGACTTTTAATACATTACTCGATCCAAATTCCCCCATTATTCACATTAGATGGGATACAAGCCATACTGTATCTTTTTATTATGCAGCCCAAAAAGGAAAACAGGACAACACTGGTTTTAACAAGTCAGGCTGTCACTACAACATGACGTCTTCTAACAGACTAAAACACAATAGGAATGCATCACAGGGCAAAGCCCTACTGTTATCTCACTGATTAGGAGAGAGAGTATGCACACTGTTGGTGTGCAAGCATGCAATGCTCCTTTAAATCTCGCCATTTTCAATTACACATATTTGATGGGAAATTTTCAAATGGTCCAAATTCTACAAAAAGTCTTTCCATTTCCAGAATTAGTGAAAACACTAGTCTTCATGAAAGATCACGTCCAAGCCAAGTTCAAACTTGAGCTATTTGTGTTCTAATAATGTAAAAGGTGTGGTGGGTTTTTTGTTTTACTTTTTTAAACAGAGAGGGAGAGGGGAGGAAAACATACACCATCATCTCAAACTCAACTGATATGTCAGTGGATCTAGATGAAAAGCATCATTCAAACAGGTTACTTTCAGAAACAAAGTGTATAGAAATTAGGGATGTTATATATCAGTTATTTTAGTAATCACTTAGCCACAATAATTTTATGGGGTTACTCAGTTACTAAAACATTCCCTGAGGGCAGGGCCAGCAGCCAATGCACTCCTGGGCTCCATTCTGGGGAGCCCCCTGCCACCTCTGTATCAGAAGCAGCAGCACAGGGTGGCAGGCAGAGTTGGTCTGTGAGGGGAGCCCATTTTAAAATCAGCTTCCAGGGCAGACCAGCTTCTGCCTGCCACCCCTGCGCACAGGGGGCCCAGAGCTTCCCACAGACAGAAGTTGTTCCGACATCCTGCCTGCCTGAGCCCCATGCTGCTGCTTTTGATACAGACACAGAAGCAGAGGGGAGGGCAAGGGGAGCAGGCAGCTCCAGGGAGCCAGTACTCATGGGGAGCTGGCTTCCTACCTGCTCCCACTGCTGCCTCTGTGAGAGGCAGCAAGGGGAAGGCAGATGGCTCCACAAGAGCCAATATGTGCAGTGGAGGGGCAGGCGGCTCTATAGGATCTGGTGCCCATGCGGAGGCAGCAGGGGGCCAGGAAGAGCAGACAGCTCCACGGGAACTGACACATGCAGGAAGCTGACTTAAAAGCCAGCTCTCCCCTCTTGCCCCCCGACTCCACTTTGCTGCCTCTGATACAGAGGCAGCATGGGGAAGGGGAGTGCACGTAGTTGTTTTGGTTTACTGGTAAACCTAGGTGTATCAGTTAATCCAATGGTTGACTGGTTGATCTTGGAGGCTTGACCAGTCGATCACGAGGCTTTGGGCCTCCCCCCTCTGCCCCTTGTTGCCCTCCACCCCCAAGATGCAGGCCACGCTGATGCTACCTTCAGGGACCACGGAGGAAGCACGGGCTTCCCGCGAGGTTGGGGGGGTGGGAGTGCACAGGTTGCTCTGCACCCTACCTCAACAGCCGGTGCAGTACCTAAAACGCCAGTCAATTGCACGCTGGGGACTTTGCTCCCCTGCTGCCTTCCTGAGCACGGGGGAGGGCGGTAGGTATCCAAGACTGCGTCAGCTCCAGCTGCACAGGTAGAACCCGCTGCCATGGGGAACCAAATAGTCCCATAATACTGTAAGAATAAAAAAAAAGTGAGCAAATGCCCTACACTACAACTGTATTCATGAAGGAATGCTACATCATGGGCTAGGGATTAATTTCGTTACCAGGGTAGGTTATGCACACACCCATCAGAAAGCAACTATGACATGCCCATTAATTCAGTCAGACCTTCAAGACGACTCAGACTTATTGAACAAAGAAGCAGTCTGTCCATTTATCATGACAGATTGGATAAGAACTGCCCAGTTGGGTCAGGAAGACCAATGTCCTCTTCCCATCACTTATAAATCTGTTGATGGCTGACAATTTAGAAGAAATAAGAGGAAGAAAGATACCTTTGCTCCTACTTCAGCAAGAGTACTCCTTTCCAGAGTATTATTCACTAATTCTAGAGTGTTATAGGGAGACCATACACTTAATTACATTTGTTTAGAACTTTTTTAAATCTTTCATTGCTGAAAGTAACACTGACATTTTTATATTGGATTTTCTGTGGTGATAAACACCACAGTATCTCACAAATATTAATTTAGTTACACATATGCTATCAATGGAGGACAAACCTTGTGCCCAAAGAAAGTTCAAATAATGCATTTGTTCATCTGGTTTGCTGAACCCTGGAAAAGGAAGGAATTTAATAGTTTGGCCACAATACTCTGTTGGGGCATAGGTCAATCATCAATCAGAAGGAGACAGTAGAACACCAGAAGAAATTAAGGGAAATTGAAGACAACCTGACTAGATGCCAGAGAGCTAAATTATTTGTTTACATATTTCAAACTGACAGTATCCCTTTAAATCAATCATGAGATGCCCAACAAAAACTCCAGGTCAGTTGATACTTCACTGCCTTCCTCAGTAATAAACATCAACAAATAGGGATACTCACGTGGACTGGCATGTTGAAATAATCAGACTTGAAGTTATCTGCCATCTCTCCAAAGCTCTGGAGCGTGTACTCCCTGACAGCCTGCTCAAATCCAAAGGCCTCACGCGGTTTGTTACATTCCTAGGAGAGGCAATACATTACTCCTACAGCTGACAACAAGCAGATTCTTACTAGAGGAGATCAGTGCCTACTCAGTTTCCTTGTCTAATACAAAGGCAAAATACTGATTTAAATTGCTTCCTCTTGATAGGGCAGCTCCTCCCACACAATTAACAGTTGGACAGCCAAACTAATGTGTGCAGCTTCACATGAACATTTGCATCTCAGCACTTGCTGAAGTAGGTAGAATGACAAGGGACAACAAAGACACAGAGGCCTTAAGCTAAGAGGGGATTATGTGAGATTTGGGCACTAAAATAAGCAGCTGTAGCAGAATTGCACTGTAGCAAACCCTACAACCGTCTTAGTCTTTATAATGCAGTGTAATTGTAGCCTAGTCAGTCCCAGGACATGAGAGAAGGTGGATGAGAACCAACAGAAACTAGTCCAATAAAAGATACTACATCGCCTATTTTGTTTCAGCAAGTCAGTAGCTAGTTTAACTGTGGAGAAAGTAAATTTACATGGAGAGAGTGCGAGACGGGTAAAAGGGTTTATTAGGATAATGGCTTTCATAAGAGTTTTATGCTAATTGGTTAGCAACTTGAGTCATCTGACATGCACATAATCAGAGGAGTTTATTTCACTGTCTTATCCATGGAGTGGGCAATCCATCACACCAATGCTATTCCACCCTGCCCATTTCCACAAAGTCTCTTTCAACACCAGTAGATCCCTCTGACAATATGTATGTAATCAGAGATATCTCTCAACATACAAACATGCCCGACGGTTGATGGCTAGTTATTTTTTATTAACGTCCTTTAATAAATCAAACACAATCCCAGATCTTAATATACAAAAAGCTTAGCTGTCCACAGAGTTTTAGGCTTCATCTAACAGACACTCCTGCATGGTGAAGTGGGGGGTGAGAGCACAACCTCCTGCTTCCACCGCACCATGAGGCACACCCCAAGTAATCTCCCGGGACACACTGCTCGAGGGAAGGGGCAGAGGAGTGGAGCAGGGGTGGGGCTTAGGAAGCTGTCAAATGGGAGGTCGCCCCAGTGCCCTGCATGCCCTTCAGGCTGGTCCTGGCTCCAACAACAATGGGAAAAAATGCAGAGCTCAAGGGCTGAGCTACCACTGTGAATGGCTTTTCCTAATAACATGAATACACACAGAGAGCTTGATCAGTTCTTGAACTGTACCTCAGCAACACATTTCGGGCATCTCCAGTCACCCTTGGGCACATCGGGCAAAGGGGGAATCAGGCAAAAAGTGTGGTAGCTATCATCACATCCATCACACAGTAGCAGTTTGTCCTCATTGTTTCCCCGGCCACAAAACAAGCACACATACAGATCAACCTGCAGAGGAAAAAAAAAAATCCGTGTAATATGATCAGTTTCCATCACCCAGAAGCTGCCACCCACAAGTTGCCAGGCCAGAGTATTACTAGCTATATAGCAGTACACAGAGCTGAAATCGGATACAGGAATGGGAGGGACAGGATTGCCTAAACTCCACAAGAGAAGCACTGACAAATCTCCACTGAGCTTCTGCTTCCCAAGGAAGCTATATATCTGAGAATCAGGGAGTGTGGGTAGACACACAAGATAAGGAGCCAGGGAATATCCATCTAGCTGAGCTTCAGGGGGAGGAAAAGCATTATCAAGTATCTTCCAGATAGATAACTCAAAGAACTCATTTACATTTACTTGAACCAGAAGAACCAATTTACATTAATTTTCATTTGAGAGGTTTAATATCTATCCTTGCTACATCCTCAGTATAAATGCTTTCTCCACTCTTGATTCAAATTAGATCTCTGCAGACAGTACTCTGCAAGAGTCCTCTTGTCTAGGTACCACATCATTATCCATGATACAAGCGTAATAATATCTGAAACTGTTCTCAAATGCAGGGACAAAAAGCAGACCATGCAGGAACAGAGAAACACTGAAAATTACAAGCTGAGAATTCAAAGGCTAAAGCTACTTGTGCCTGTACTAATAATTGTTCCCCTTGATCTTTATTCTTCTTTGATAACAGGAGGATAAGGATTCCAAGTAGCAAAATAAAAGTGTAAGAATTCATGCTCCAGCACACTACTTCCTCATTTACTGTCTGCCCAACACCACCACTACCCTGAAGAACTTTCAAAAACCAAGATTACTGCACAATCAAGGTCAAATTCCCTGTTGCTATAGCTTGTCACAGTAGGATAGCTCTAGTATCACCCTAGTTTAGAAAGGAAACATCAGCTACTTTTCTCCTTAAAATGTACTCAAGCTCCTAAAACACTGGTTTTACACAACTACTGAGCTGTATTTAGATTGTATAACAAGTGAGCCTGCTAGATCTGAAGAATAATTTTACATTTAATCATTTAATAGAAGCACTGACTTTTAATACATTACTCGATCCAAATTCCCCCATTATTCACATTAGATGGGATACAAGCCATACTGTATCTTTTTATTATGCAGCCCAAAAAGGAAAACAGGACAACACTGGTTTTAACAAGTCAGGCTGTCACTACAACATGACGTCTTCTAACAGACTAAAACACAATAGGAATGCATCACAGGGCAAAGCCCTACTGTTATCTCACTGATTAGGAGAGAGAGTATGCACACTGTTGGTGTGCAAGCATGCAATGCTCCTTTAAATCTCGCCATTTTCAATTACACATATTTGATGGGAAATTTTCAAATGGTCCAAATTCTACAAAAAGTCTTTCCATTTCCAGAATTAGTGAAAACACTAGTCTTCATGAAAGATCACGTCCAAGCCAAGTTCAAACTTGAGCTATTTGTGTTCTAATAATGTAAAAGGTGTGGTGGGTTTTTTGTTTTACTTTTTTAAACAGAGAGGGAGAGGGGAGGAAAACATACACCATCATCTCAAACTCAACTGATATGTCAGTGGATCTAGATGAAAAGCATCATTCAAACAGGTTACTTTCAGAAACAAAGTGTATAGAAATTAGGGATGTTATATATCAGTTATTTTAGTAATCACTTAGCCACAATAATTTTATGGGGTTACTCAGTTACTAAAACATTCCCTGAGGGCAGGGCCAGCAGCCAATGCACTCCTGGGCTCCATTCTGGGGAGCCCCCTGCCACCTCTGTATCAGAAGCAGCAGCACAGGGTGGCAGGCAGAGTTGGTCTGTGAGGGGAGCCCATTTTAAAATCAGCTTCCAGGGCAGACCAGCTTCTGCCTGCCACCCCTGCGCACAGGGGGCCCAGAGCTTCCCACAGACAGAAGTTGTTCCGACATCCTGCCTGCCTGAGCCCCATGCTGCTGCTTTTGATACAGACACAGAAGCAGAGGGGAGGGCAAGGGGAGCAGGCAGCTCCAGGGAGCCAGTACTCATGGGGAGCTGGCTTCCTACCTGCTCCCACTGCTGCCTCTGTGAGAGGCAGCAAGGGGAAGGCAGATGGCTCCACAAGAGCCAATATGTGCAGTGGAGGGGCAGGCGGCTCTATAGGATCTGGTGCCCATGCGGAGGCAGCAGGGGGCCAGGAAGAGCAGACAGCTCCACGGGAACTGACACATGCAGGAAGCTGACTTAAAAGCCAGCTCTCCCCTCTTGCCCCCCGACTCCACTTTGCTGCCTCTGATACAGAGGCAGCATGGGGAAGGGGAGTGCACGTAGTTGTTTTGGTTTACTGGTAAACCTAGGTGTATCAGTTAATCCAATGGTTGACTGGTTGATCTTGGAGGCTTGACCAGTCGATCACGAGGCTTTGGGCCTCCCCCCTCTGCCCCTTGTTGCCCTCCACCCCCAAGATGCAGGCCACGCTGATGCTACCTTCAGGGACCACGGAGGAAGCACGGGCTTCCCGCGAGGTTGGGGGGGTGGGAGTGCACAGGTTGCTCTCCCACGCCAGTCAATTGCACGCTGGGGACTTTGCTCCCCTGCTGCCTTCCTGAGCACGGGGGAGGGCGGTAGGTATCCAAGACTGCGTCAGCTCCAGCTGCACAGGTAGAACCCGCTGCCATGGGGAGCGGAGGAGCAAGGCACGTGCTACCCAAGCGGTTGGGGCTGGCGCTGTCCAGGACTCCCTCACGCCCTACACGGGAAAGCAGAAGGGGGATAAAGTCCCCAGTGTGCCCGGCTCCAGCTGCTCAGGCGGCATGCATTGCCATAGGGAGTGGAGAAGCAAGGCGTGCACTACCCCAGCGGGTGGGGCTGGCGCAGTCTAGGACTTCTCCCCCCTCCCCCCCCCAATTCAGGAACGCATCAGGCGTGCGACAAACCAGCGTTTCAGGTACCGCGCTGCTGTATGGGGAATGGGGGAGCAGCCCACATACTTCCTGGGCCTTGGCGTGCAGCTGCAGGACCCCCAAGTATCAGTCTGTCCGCCCCCTACCCAAACCCCCAAAAATACCCTGTCGCAACACACTGGCACTCTGTCCCTTGCCCCAGCACCCATTGGCACCCTGCACCAGAACCATGTCCCAGCACCCACAAGCACAGTTGGGGCCACATTAGTAAAGTTTGAGGGATTTGGAGGGGTTGTGTTTTTGTATCTCACTTGCATGGCTCCAACTGACTTTTCTGTGGGCCAGTGACCCATGACTCAAAACAGGTTAGCCGCCCTTCTCATAAATAAAGACGATGCTGAAACCTTGTGTGTCTGACATACTATTTTATTTAAAAATTAAGCCTGGCCAACAAGCCCCCAATTGGGGCCAAGTCCTCATCTGGCCACAGCATCGTAACACTCCTGTATCCCCCACCCTGACTCCAAATTTGAGCCTCTCATATACTGGAATCCCTTATCCTGAGCCTCTCATCCCCAAACGCCTGCACCCCCACATCCTCAATCTTCTGCCACAACACTCTTGCACCATACCCACACTGCAAATCTGTGTCCTGAGCTCCTCACACCCCCAACCTAAACTCTTGCACCCTCACATCCACTAAGCCTGTGGCTTGCTCAGCACCCCAACCCTCCACCTGAGCTCAGCACTCCCCAGCCTGGAGCCCCCTCCCTGACCCAGCATCATCTTCCTGCACATCCTCCTGCATCCAAATTCCCTCCAAATTTCCTCCCAGAGCTTGCACCTCTCACCCCTTCCCACACCCAAATCCCTCATTCACACCCCAGAGCCTACACCTCCTGTCTCAACCCAGTGAGGGTACGGTTAGACTGCAGGAGTTTTACCGCCAAACGCGCTCTTTTGGCAGCCCCTGTATGCCTTGTTCCACAAGGCTTCCAAAAAAAAGGGGGGGGAGGGATTTTCCAACATTTGGGACAGTCTAGATGGGCCAAATGTCGGAAAAATTTCTTTTTTTTCCCCACTGCCGAAAAAAAGCAGCAGGGTAGCCATACCCTGAGAGTGTATAAGGGCCAGGGATAGCAAGTGATGGAGAGAAGGGGAACTGAGAGGGCGGGGCCTCAAGGAAGGGATGGGGTAGATCTTGGCTTGTCCTGACATTTAAAAAGTGGTCTTGGGTATAAAAAGGTTGGAGACCACTGAGTTAATCATTTAAACATCATACACTAACATCCCTAGTAGGAATAGGGGATTACAATGAACTGTTTTGCAACATATACCATACCAAATGTCGCCACCTAATCCCTAAGATTCAGAGATAGTACTGTCCTTTTTCCATAATCTTCAGTACACAGACGCAACATTTTGTATTACAGCATAATTAACATGTGGTCAAATATCAAACACACAAAAGTAGATTTATGGCTGCTGTGGGATCTCAAATAAGTGTCATGACTTCTTGCAATTAAATCCTCAACTTCATTGCATTTTGTATAGACCTACCATTTTACACAAATGTAAAATAAATGGATGGGGACAATCAGAAATGCAGCAGGATATTTTCAGATGACAATTACAGCCTGACTTACAAATACAAGATGTGTACATTTCAGAGATTTATTTCCTTGACGGTCTCTCAAGTGCTATTAAGGCCCAATACGTATTCATTTATGAAGGTTTTACAAGATCACATCTACAGCTAAATAGATGTACGATTCTGGTTTTATTGCTACTGTATTTGAACCCCTCCCACAAGTGAGAGATAATATAAACAGGAAACAAAATCTGTCTTCCTGATAATTGACTAGGAGAGACATTTTCACAATCACTAATAGCAGTCATTTCTTTCACGGAGAAACAGTCAGCTTAGAAATACCATCTATTCTCAGCAATTAATGCAAAAAATAATCAGATAAGCTCTGTCCTATTTCATCTGTTTCCAAGAATCTAACTGTTGCTGGTTTATATTGTAATTTATGACCCCCATAATTTATCTAAAAGATTCTATTTGAGTTTGTTAAAAGTCCCATGGCCCCTCCTGGAACAGAAAACAACTAACATTCTAATAACCACAAGAAGCTTTCTGCAGCTATGGAAATAAGGTATTCTGCATGTTTCATATGCTGTTTTTGAAGTGCCCAGATCTTAAATTTCTTCAAACATGTTAGAAGTAGTAAGCCTTATTAAGGACTGTGTATGTACTAAAGATGTGAAAGTGTAACCATTTACATGGTTAACTGTTGAGCCTGAGCTCATGCATGATTACGCACAGCCCCTTTTCTCCCTCTGTATCAGACGCAGCAGCCAGGAGGGGTGCAAGAGGAGGAGACAGGTGAGAGCTGGCATGTGAGAAAAGCTGTTTCTCAATGACCCGGCAGGGGACCGGTACTCGTTCTAGAGATCTCCCTAACAACTTCAGATAGGAGCAAGTTAGTCCCTTGTGACTAAGCACTTGCTTAGATTATATTAACTACTTATATGGCTCCATTACTGTAGTATCAGATCACTCACTAACGTATTTTTAGACTAGAAGAAAAGTACCACTATTTCAATTTTTCAGATGGAGAACTGAAGCATGGAGAGACAAAGCAATTTGCCCAAGATCATACAGAATGTCTGTGGCAGAGCAGAGAATCAACATACGTCTCTTGAGTCTCAAGTGAGCCCCTTCAGGATGGAATACCCTTTTTTCTGTTAAACTAACATGGAATCTCACCCTAACACTGAATTTTTTACTGTGATTAATTGAATGTTTTACTGTGATTAATTCAAATTCTCACCTTTCAGCAGAAAATATCTTACATCATCTGTTACAGTGCCCTATTTTCTCAATGGCACAAATATATCAAAAGGAACCCAAGCTGACAGCTTCATTTACCATGCTATGTACCCCAGAGCAAACAAATCACTTACAAAGTTGACAGAAATTGTCCCTTTACGCTGCCTCATCTGCATGCCAAATGCTTCTGACTTGGTACCTTTGCGTCTTCGAGACACTTCATCTTGAAGTAAAATACAGTTGCATACATTTCATTAGTATAGCATAAACAAAAATCCAACGTACAAAGATCATGTAGCAAGTACCCAGCCTGGTGGGGTAGGAGCTGCATACTCTGAACCTCCTCATTCTCCTGTGATAGGAGGGTGTGGGAGATACAGCTAGCTCTGGAAAAAGGCTAAGGAAGGAAAGGACTGCATCACACCATATCCCCTGCTGTGACAGTGAACAAGTTGGGTGTAGTGAAGCTCAGAGTATTGGTGTCTGGCCTGGGGGCATGGAAATGTAGGTGTCCAGGCCCTGGAACCCTAATCAAGCCCACGCTAGCACCTCCCAACTGCAACTGTGTAGTTGTAGGGTTTTCTTTAACTCTTTACTCCTGAGGAAATCTCTCACTGTATGTCAACAATAGAGACAACTTGTTGACAGATATTTTGAAATATGTTACCAAAGTAACTGAAGCTGGAGCAATATGGTGTTATTTTCACAAATAAAATATGCAAAACTTTACAACAATGTACACATTTTTGGTTTTAGGTCACCTAATTCTGCCAGGAGTAAAATGCCAGTTGTACCAAACTGTATACAATTGGGAAAGGGTAAACCCTCCTTTGCTCATTACCACAGAAGATCCGGTTAAGTCATGAAACAAAATGGGTTGCCCATATAATTTGTGAGCTTATCATTGGTGTTAACATTTATCAACCATTTTTTCAAGTCCAGCAATTCTCAAGTTGTACAGCACATTTCCTAAATAAAGCAGTATGATTCTGTAGCAAATTAAGGGTCCCAGCCAACGTGGTTAGCCACCACAAGTTCTCTCAAGCTCCCCATGAATTAAACCCCAAAACTTTTTCTCGTCACAATGTCTCAGTTTTACCTCTTTGCATTTGTCTTCAGAGAGAGCAGGGAGGTTATTCAAAAGACTGTTGCAGAATCTAAATTCAGGCTATGGTATTTACTTCCCCAGAAGCTTATTTACCTTCTTTATCCTTCGCTCCCAATGCAAGTCCCACCATCTTGGGTCCAGCTCCGAAGATCTGCAGCTTCTTCAGCTCAGCATTTCTACTCATCTCTCCTGCCTCTGCCTAAAAACAAGACCACATCAGCACAACACAATCAGCATTTAATTCTAGGTCTCCAGTACTCACTGCACACTTGCCTGTCTCCTCTCGTTGCTCCATTCACACTCAACATCCACTTTACTTACCCTTCAGAAGATGGAAGGCCTGAATTTTTTTTTATTTCCAAACCAAGTATCCAGATTCACTGCATTTCCTTTCAGACTGGAACTTTTCTTCCAGTTCTCCAAACCAACGTCTCCACCTATGCTCCCTCTAATCTTTCCATCCATGTGCAGAATAAATTTGTGTGCATCAAGATGTGTGTGTATGTGCACCACCAGTAGAAACCAAAATCTAGCTATAAGCACTATGCTAATCAGCTGAACGGCATTTGAATGTCTCCTGATCAATTGCACAAGCATACATCTTACAAGGAACACTGATCTCCATGGTTAGCATTAACCAGTTTTGTTACACAGACCAACCTATACAGCAAGTGATCATGGAGAACTAGAGTTTGACATCTAGCAAAAACAATCACCAATGCAACACATTCCTAGTTATTATGGATCAGGAAAAATGTAATAATATATTTATTAATATGTTGCACCCTTCATCTGCTCCCTTATGTGGGTGGATGGATATATCCACAAACTATTAATGAGGTTCACAGTTCATAAACCTTGAAACCGTGGCTGGGATTGGATTTTCAAATGCAATGACCGTTACTATTCCCTATAGCCCTACTTGCACGTGGTGCTCTTCAAATCACGTGAATTAAGCAATGGAAAACTCTTATTATCCAGACCATCCCCCTGAAAGTGCAGGGTTGATTTCTTCTAATGTTTTGTTCCTTCCTGTCCATTCGTTCACAGTCCTCCATAACTCTGAGCCTCTCTTTTCTACTGCCATAGAGCTTAAGAGTCCTAGTCACGAACCAGGACTTCACTGTAACGAAGTACTATATGCTTCTCCAGCCTTGTTTTACTCTATCACTAGATTTACCAGGCGTTGCTTGGGTACTTAATCTTTATTTTTCTTCCTTTAAATAATTGTTACAGGGTGAGGGGTTCAGTATGAAGGCTGCCGGCCTGGGGAGAGACTATTATTCCAGACCCTTCTCACCACAGCAGCTTGGGGCCAGGCAAGAGGCATCTCCAACAAGCTCCTGCAGTTCCAGCAGGCAGCCAAGGGAGAAGTGCATGTCCCCTGGCTGCAGGTTAGGCTGGGTGGGGACCATGGAAGGACCACCTGTCCCCTGGCAACAGCAGCTCTGGGATAGTGCTGGTTAGCATGCCACAACTGGGGGGGGCGTCCCCTTTTCTTGCCCCAATATAGAGCAGATGCTGGAGGGAGGGGGAGTGAGGCACCCCTTCCCACGGCCCCAGCACAGGGCTACCACAGCTAGAGGAGGCAGCACAGCCCTCACTGGCCCAGAAGAGAACTGCTGCAGCAGCCATGCTGGGGCCAGCAGAGGTGGCACTCTATGCATCTTCCCTGAACCCGCCCTTAGGCACTTTTCAACATTTGCTCACTTATGAGGACTATACTTCACTTGGAGATTGTCTCTTTTCTGTTTGGTTTTTGTGGGAAACAATCACTGCAGTTCCAGTAGGCAAGGCCAAGGGAAAGTGCATATCCACCAGTTCAAGCAAATCCAGGTTCGTCTGCCCACTACGCTCCCCAGACAAAGTGAGGTAGGCAGGAAACTGTACTTTTCCCTGGCTCCCTAATGAAAGCAAACAGACAACAATGTCCCTATACAAACTGGGGGAGAGAGGGAAGGCTGTGACCTTCAGTCCCCTCCGCCCCCCCTCCCCCACCACATTCACCTTCAAGGTACCTGGGAGGTGGGAGGCTCAGGGCTGGGGCAGTCCCTTTCACCTGCCTGGCGATTCTGTCTCTTTTTTGTATGGTTTTATGAGAAGCAATCCCATTCGGGGCACATCCTGTTTTCCTGGCATAACCAAACCCTTATATTGCTTCAAGTTATGATAAGAGGAAGCTGTATACCAAATTTGGTGGTCATAGCTCTTACAGTTTAGGAGGAGATCTTGAACAAATGAACTGATAGACACAGACTCTCTCAAATATATACTAGATTGGCTGCACACCACTAAATATTTTGTCCATTTACTTCTCACAAGCTCTCTCGCTTTGTCAACAACCTTTGTCCTTCCTAAGCTGATCCACCAGGCAGCTACCTTTTCTTCATTCAAGTCCCTCCTAAAGACCTGTTGCTCCTACAAAGCCTTCCAGCATTTTTAATCCATCACACTGCTCACAAATGTTCACTCAGAAACTGAATTATCTTATTGTTGTTACCCTGCCCTACCTTCTCCTGCTCTCCATTACAAACTTACATCTGAGGTAAGTTTGTTAGCTCTTTTGGGGCATCAATTTGGTCTGTCTGTACTGCAAAGCACCTATCAACTTTTGGTGACACGCAAAAAACCTTTTCTGGTAAGCAATACTCAAAACTAAATGAAGATTCCATGTGCAATGACAATAATACTATAAGCAGAATATCATTTCCAAGCATTCATTCAAATTTGTTTGTTTTTGTTGGCTGCCAAAATAGACTGAAAAGCAATTTGCTAATCAGAGATATTTTTAGCACTACTGCTGTCCAGATAGTTTCCTCCAACTGTATTTTGTGTTTGGGCTTGTTTTCTCACCCAGTATGACACTTACAGGGAGATGTAATACACCCCCCCCCCTTTTTTTTTTTTTTAAGATTTCTCGGTTTACCTCTTTACGTTTATAGAAATTGTTTAGCAACTGATGGACATTGGACAGTGCTGTAACTGATCATGACATCTACAAGAATATACATCACCCAAAACACAGCAATAAAATATTTTAGGTTATTTTAGTATACAGGTACCCCACTCAGACAAATGTGATTTTACAAGATGGCGTCCCTCTAATCTTATGGGAATGTTGTTCTCCCACTAGTACACGTGATTAACGAAAACAGATAAAATGAAATTTATGAGAGATCCCACTGGTATCAGAGGACTTCCTTCCCTCAAACAATGCAACTTTCTAATTAAATCTTCAATATTTGTTTACAGACTTTCTGGCAATTTTTAGTCCATTGGATTGTTGTCATCCCAATCCTTGCTTTCACTTGAAAAATTAAATTGAATATCAATCTTTTCTAATATCCAGATTTTGAATACATCAAGTGCTCTTCATAACATTGCTTTTTGATAGTTATGAAATTAAATCAATTTTACTAATTTTAATGTGAACATGTTTTAAAATTCTTATCCTAATTCCATTACAATTCTAACACAATTTTTAAAAGTAATTATAAGTTTAACTATAACCACTATTTCCTCGTATAAAAAGAGAACACTACATCTATCAAAAGAACAAGTTGTGTGTTCAGAAGACAATATATAACAAAAAAAACCTAAAATGCCTACAGAATAGACAGACTTAATTATGAATACCATATCTCAGAGAGGTAGCTCTGTTAGCCTGTACCTGTAAAACAAAGATTCCTGTGGCATTTTAAAGATTAACAGATTTATTTGGGCATACGCTTTTGTGAGTAAAAGCCATTTTGTCAGATGCAACTTATGCTAGGGATCTTACATTTAGATTAATCGAATAGTCAATCCCATTGACTATTCAATTAGTCAGTCTATAAGAGAACCTCTGCCTTTAACTATAACAAGAGCACTATTGGGCTCTCGCTACAGTTCAAAAGCAGAAGCCCCACAGTTGAAATGTCCAAGAGCCCCAGATCTGTACATTTCAAAAACAGAATCATGGCAGAAGCAGTGCAAGCAGAGACTACTTCAGTCCCCACTCACACCATTTCCTGCTGTGCCTCTAGCTTCCCTGCCCCCCGGCAGAGACAGTGCTTTGGGGGGAATGGGGTGGAAACCAGCTTTTAAGCCAGCTCCCCCCAGCACCAGTTCCTCCGACAGGCAGCAAGGGGGAAGTAACTAGTTGCATCATTAGTCAACTAGCTGATAAGCTTATGCTTATTGAGTAGTCGACTAGTTGCTTACATCCCTAACTTACACCCAAATAAATCTGCTCGCTTTATGAATGTCAACGAGTAGTTGATTAGACGATTAACTGATTAACCCCCTAAGTCTAGGTTTATCTGGTCGACTACTTGCATTACCCTTCCCTCCCCACTGCCTTTGTATCAGAGGATCAGGAGCCGGTGATTCCCAGACAGCAGTCCCTGTCCATGGGGGCGGGAGGGGAATCTAAGCCACCCATGAACAGAGGCTGCACCAGTCTCTGTCTGCAGGAACCTCAGGCACCCCACGAATACCACATGCCCTCCCAGCAGCCTCTGTCCACTGGGAGCTTGGAACCCTGAGGGCAGGGGCTAATGCCACCCCATGTTGCTGCCTCTATCAGAGGCAGCAATGCGAGGCAACAGGCAGCCATTCCATGGGGGGAGATGGTTTGTCAGCTGGCTCCCCTCACCGACAGGCTCCTACCTGCCATCCCACACTGCTGCCTTGGATACAGAGGCAGCAGTGCAGAGTGACAGGGGGCTCCCCAGGAGGGGGGCCAGAGCATACTGCCTGCCCCCCCCGCCATGAGGGATTATAGAATAGTCAACTAACTACTAGGAATTCATGCAGTTAGATGACTATTCTATTACCAACTATTTAACATCCCAAGTTAGCCTTTAAGGTGCCACAGAACTAGGGATGTTAAATTTCTATTAGTTAACTAATCAATTGTAATTCCATCCACTAGTAGATGGGGGGGCACTCGCTATCCCGCTGCACCTCTCCCTTTAAAATGTGGGCACTTCTTGTATATTTAAAAACGAGAGGAGCGGCAATTGGAACCCGTGTGAGCAGGACTCTCTCAATCCCTGCTCATGCCCTTTTACAACTGCCCTCTACCTCTCCTGTCTCCCACCAAGACAGTGCTGGGGGAATCAGCTTTTAAGCCAGCTCTCCCCAGCAGCAGCTCTTGCTTCTCCTCCCTGCTCCCTCTCCCTGATCAAGGCAGCAAGCAGGGGAAGCAACTGGTCA